TTTCCAAAGGTTCACTTTAGAGTTGAAATTTTCTAGTGGGAGAATCTATTAAAGGCCAAAGGACCGTAATCCTTCAATAACACCAATGTAGGAGCTTGAGGAAAAATTAGGAAGCTATACAATATTTGTTTGCTAATATCCCTTCTCAATGTCTGTCTTTAATTCATTCAAAAAATACATACAGCATTGAGTGCCTATTGTGTGCCTAGGTACTGTTCTAAGTGCTCAAGTTACAGCAGTGAACAAAACAAAGGTGCTTGCTCTTAGGGAGCATATGTTCTAGCAAGGAGAGATAATAAACAATAGATACAATAAACTATATTGAACATTACAAGGTGACAAATGCTAGGGAAAAACAAGAGTCAAGCCCAGTAAAGAGGATTGTTTAGAGTACAAGTTGCAATTTTAAGTATGGTGGTCAGAGTAGGCCTTACTAAGGTGATATGACATTTAAGCATAAACATGAAGGAGAAGGAGAGGAGTAAGCCTGGGCTATCTTAGGATTCCGGGATAGCCAAGCCATTTCCATGGCATTGGGAGCCTGGTGTTCTCGTTCTCTTTGGGAAGAACTGCTGAGTCTAGGAAATGCCCTTTCCTAGGGAGATGCACTGGTATGGAGACAGCAAGTCTGAGGATTGGAAAGGATCTTTAAAAAGGCACTTAGTCCAATCCTACCTTGGATAATTTCACTTTGCCTAAGACATGGGAGGGGTCTCTTTTCTCTGGACTTGTGTTTTTTTAAGCTACCACTTCCAGCCAGGCCATCCTTCTCACAGTGTTATCTTTCATCTTTATAGCAACTCTGTGAGGTAGCAGTAACATATTATGCCTCTTTCTCACAGAGGCACAGTAGGTTAAGGGGTTTGCCTGAGGTCATATAACCAGGAAGTGGCTGAACCTGGATTCCTTCCATTCCACCCTGTGGCCCTGCTCATATTCCACCTGCCTCTGATTCACCCTTTCTTTCTAGACCGGCATTCTCAAAACTGGAGGACTCCTTTGAAGCCCTCTCCCTGTACCTGGGGGAGCTGGGCATCCCGCTGCCTGCAGAGCTGGAGGAACTGGACCACACTGTGAGCATGCAGTACGGCCTCACCCGGGACTCGCCCCCCTAGCCCTGGCCCAGCCCCCTGCAGGGGGGCGTTCCACAGCCAACATTGCCCCCTCTGCGCCCCATCCCTGCTGTGAGCAGGGCCATTGGGCTTCCTGTGGATTGATGGCTTGTTTAGAAGGAGAACAAGCCATCCCTACTACCTCTCCAGGAGGCGAGCGGGCGCAGCACCAGGGAAACATATCTCCACAGTTTTTGGGGGCCTGGTTACCGTCTGTAAATCTAACACTCGCCTGAAAGCTGTGAAGAAGATTTAAAAAAAAAAAAAAAAGCCTGCCCTTAGGGCCAGGAAGAATCTGTTACTTGGGTCCACCTGGGAACTCACTGGCAGTGGGATTCCAGGAGGCTTTTGCTTACACTAATCAGCATGACCTGGACCTGCTGGGCAGGATCCCAGGGTGACCTTGCCTGTGAGCTCTGAAGTCTCTAGTCCAGCTGGGTGCACAAGGACGTCAAGTGGGAGTGTGGACAAGAGAAAACCTGGTGGCCAGGTGGCACTCAAGGGTGTGAAATGAGAGTGGTGCTCCCCCGTCCACTCCAGATCCTGCCTTCCGTGGAGGAGAGGTTGAGGGAGTAGGTTTTGAAGAGTCCCTTAGTCTATATTGGTGGAACTGGCCAGGAGTCAGGAAAAGGGCTGGCTTCTCTTCACCTGCCAGGCTGTGGCTGCTCTAGCCAGCCCAGGGACCACATCAGTGTGAGGGGAGCTTCCGCCTCATGTTCTCAAACTTACTACTGGAGACTGGCTGAGAACTTCTGGGCGACATCCTTTCTTTCTGCAACAAGCAGTCACCCGCAAGCACAGGAAGAGGCTGGGGGCTGAAAAGAAAGAGGCCCTGCCCTCTAGAAACCCCATATCCCAGCTGCTGTTAATCATACCCTGGTGGGCTCCTGAGACATTTGTCTAGAGCTAGATGGGTTCTGGAGGACAATGTGGCTTGTCACAGACCTAGGGTCTGAGGCCGGGGAGTGGGAGTCTCAGCAATCTCTTGGCCTTGTCCTGGTGGCAGCCACTGCTCACCCTTCAACCTACCTGTTCCAGGCAGCAACTTGGGCTGGGAAGACGTGGTGGCAGAGGCCCAGGGCTGAGATGCTGAGAGACAGCTCCCTGAGCTGGGCCATCTGGCTTCTACCTCCCTTGTTGGCTGGCCCAGCTCACTAGCTCCTGGCCGCAGCCTCCTGAGCCACAGCCTTGGGCACTGAAAAGCCCTGGGGGCACCTCCACCTTGGCTCCCAGAGCACCAGGGATTCTTCAGCACAACTAGATTTGCCTCCTCCTAAGTGTCTGTGAGCTTGTGCCATATTTAACAAATTGGGACTGGGTTTGGGGTATTAATGCAATGTGTGGTGGTTGTGTTGGGGTGGTGGGGGGGAGTGATCCAGGAGAGTGGTTGCTGTTGATATTATCTTGTTATATCTATTGGGTGATATGTGAAATATTGTACATAGATCTGATGAGTTTTGGGATCAGATGTCATCTCTGGCCAGAGTTTACTTGCTGTATAGACTATACTTCCGTGTGACGTTTGCAAGCTTGCTGTAGGGTGACTCCCAGCAGCAGCACAGTTCAGCATCGTGTGGCTGGTTGTACCTCAGCTGTCCTCAGCAAGTGTGGGAGTGGTGGGCCTGAACGGGGCCATTGAGCAGACTAAATAAATTAAGCAGTTAACATAACTGGTGATACTGAGAGTGAAAAAGTGATTTGGGGCCTGGCTCAGGAAGATAAATGTGCAGGGTCTGCTGGCCTCCTTCAGGCCCAGGCCACACGACTGCCCACAGCAGAGCGTTTTCATGCTCCCAAGTCTAATCCCCTCTCCTTAAGCAGATACCAGCCTACTCCAGAGAACATGTACGTCCCAGCTGAGGCAGCCCCTTCCTTAGAGAGGTTTGACTATGACCTCATCTTGGCCCCACAAAGCTGCTCCGTCTGGCTTCTCCCACCAGGTGAGTGGTTCCTTAGGAGCTCCACGCTCCCACCCTCTAATGTACAAAAGCTTCTACAGCCTGGGGGTCCTGGCTGTCCCTCCTCAGGGCTGGGTGCCACTTTTGTAATGAGAAATGAATGCAAGTCACCCTTGCCCTTGTTTCCATATAAGTGCTTGAAAGAAGACCCTTTTCTTGCTTCTGCACATGGGGGATGCTGTGGAAGAGTGACCATTGGGCAGGATGATACTATCTGGTTAGTGGAGTGTTGGGCACAATGTAAATCCATAAACCCAAAGGTGATTTCTCCCACACACTCCCAAAGTTTGAGGAATCCAACTTAAGGGCAGCATCTGGTTCCTGGAAAAACTGATGATCTGGGGTGTGCATTGCTGGCAGAACTATAGAACAATGTCTGGGCATGGGCGGAGGTCACCTGCCCTGAGTGTTCCTGGAGGCTGAGAACTATTGCTGAAATCCCCTGCTAAAAGTCCAGAAGACACTCCCATTGGTATCTTTCCTTCTGGAGCCCTAGGAGTCGCCTCACAGGGACCTTCCTCAGCCCAACCCTGTCTGCAGAGTCACCCCCTCTTGGGCTGCTGCAGCCCTACTACCTACCCCACCTCATCTCCAGCCCCTAACAAGGGCTGTCAGGATATTCCTTTTAACTACCCCCCCTCAGAAAGAATACAAACGGGGAAAGGATTTGCAGTGACCAATGGCCCTCATGGGACACCTGCACACCCGTCCTTCCTGCAGCTTTAACCTGAAAGATTCCTGGTGATGACAATCAGAATGCAGAGGCTGCAGCTGCCAACCATTTGGCTGTTGCCACCTTCCAGTCATAGGGCCAGGGTGAATGAAGAAAAGGCCAGAGCTTGCCATACAGGTTGACAAGGTAACCCAAAGCTTCTCAACTTATGTGGGAGTATCACCCCACAAAAACCTAGCAACATGGAGCTTTTTTTTTTTAGTAAGTCAAATACAGAGCAATTTCCCACACTTTATATGCAGGTGTCAGGATGAGGTATATAAAACATGTATACAGAGAAATGCTTTTATAGAAAAGTAGAAACCGTAATGTTCTCTTCTCTAGCATCACCAAGGGACCGCCTGAGGTCTAGGCCCCCACAGCAAAGTACTCCAGGGAACAGCCTGCTGAAGGGAATGGGCTCCACTAACCCCCCTCTCCACGTCAGGCAGTGGAAGGGCCTGGGAAGGAAGCTCTGTGGCTCGGGAGTGCTGCCAAGGCCTCTGAGTGTGGCTTCAGGGCTTGGAGGCCCTACTGAGCCGCCAGCACAGTGCAGTGGAGAAATGTTGCACTCAGTCAGGAAGCTGGGCTCTCCTCTTAGCCATGCTCTGTGACCTTGGGCAAGTCACTTTTCCCTCTATGGGCCTATGTCCAAAAGGCTTAAAGAACCTTAAGGTCCTTTCCAATGGTTCTATGATTTTTGTTTTGCAAGTTAAGGTTATAACCCTAGACTCACTCTTACAGGAAGGTGCTGGCCTGGAGGCCACAGGACCACCTGCCACCTCGGGGCCCACTGCAGGGGCAAGCCCTGAGGTGCTTTTATTACCTTGCCTCTGAGCTTAGTTTCCAGGAACCTCCCAGAAGAAGCTCACAAGACCCCACAGCATAATTCCCATGGGTTAGCTGGCTGCTGTCTTACCCATGCAAAATGAACCTCAGGTCCACCTCTGCCCCTGGGACCTAAAGCTAGAGCGGATCCTTCTCTATCCTCTTCCTACGTGGAATGTTCAGTGCAATTCTTCCCTTCCTTTCCTTATGAAACAGGAAGAGTCCCTGGGCCCAGACCTGGCCCACGGTTATCAAGGCACATCACTGCCAGCAAGCTGGAGCACACCCAGCAGCCCACAGCCTAGATCTCATTCTCAGTCCAAAGTTCTGACTTCTGTACAAACTCATTTCTGGTTCTCAGAGGTCAGTAGGGAATTCCATCCCAAATACTTTTTAAAACTAAACATATTTTTTCAATGCTGCCACTTGACCTGCTTGACCTTAACTATGAATAACAGTGTATGCCACTCAAGCCCACCACGGAGACTGAGGCCATTACTTAGATAGTAAAGCGCAGAGGAGCCTGGGGAGCTCCCTGTCTGTCCCTGGTTCAGTTCCAAGGAAACAGGCAATGTTTGGAAGCCCTTGCCAGCAGGACCTCAGGGGGAGCTACTGCTGTCTCCATCCACCAGCAAAATCCTGCTCCAAGGGATGGAAGAGCATTGTTAGGAGCCTACCCAGCCTTGCCCTTAGCCCACAGCACCACCTGCTTCTCTCAGTTATTAGGATTCACCAAGAAAAAAAAAAAGTGGGGGTAGGGTTTTAACCACAACACAAAGTGTAGATCCTCCCAGCTGTAGGAGGGTGGGCTGTCCTGCACCAGTGTCCGCATGGGCTCCTGCCCATTGGTGGGGCTCAGGCCCCAGGAGTGCCGGCCTGGTCCATAAGGGGGATGCTGCCCTCCTGAGGGTCTACTGGAGTCTGGCTGGCGTGGACCACAATAGTCTTCTCATCCACGATCTCACAGCTGGGGTTGGAGAAGGCAGACAAGGGCAGGGTGATCCGCTGCATCTCCCTCTCACACACTTTCTGCTCATGCTGCTCTTTCAAATCCTTCCCCCTGGCAGGAAAAAAAGGAAACATTCAGGCTATGCCTACTGCATGGCTTTGCTCATTAGATAGCATCCCTGAGGCCTAGACAAGAGCAACAGCTCACCATGGCCACAGTGAATCAGTGAGCTAGGCCTCGAACTCAGGTGCAAGATACTAGATACCCATTCTACCAGGCCACCTTAAACTCAACAGGAGCTCCTGTAGCTCTGGTCTCTGCTTCCCCATCTGCAAATGGGGGTGACAGCAGTATGGACCTCACACACTGCAGTGGGGCTCAATGGAAATAAACAGGGGACAGAGACTCTTAAAGCAAGTTACAATTTTGTTCTTTTAGCCCTGGGCTCCAGGAGACTCAGAGCACTATCCAAGCTTTGGTCCTAACCCACAAAGTCCAGAAAACTGACCTGACCATCCTGCTCTGAGACAGCCTTCTTATCCTGAAGTCCTAGAATGTGTGACCCTAGGCTGAAAATGGACCATCCCTAACCCATGCAGGGGGCAAAAAGGACTATGAGGCAGGTCAATGGGAAACAATGAGATAATGATCATCAGACCTCTTAGTTTTCACAGACCTTTGAATTTTCATGGTGCTCAGGGACCCAATCAGGCCATAGTGTAACTGTTTTACTCATGTGGAGTGCTCACTCCAAGAGAAGGACGTCACGTCATTCTCAGCACAGCCCTAAGAATTAGGTCTTACTCTTTATTTTGAAACAAGGTCTCCCTCTGTTGCCCTGGCTAGAATGCTGTGGCATCATCATAGCTCACTGCAACCTCAAACTCCTGGGCTCAAGTGATCCTCCTGTCTCAGCCTCCTGAGTAGCTGGAACTACAGACATGTACCACCATGCCTGCCTAATTTAAAAAAAAAAAAATTTTTTTAGAGACAGGGTCTTGCTATATTGCCCAGGCTGGTCTCAAATTCCTGGCCTCAAGTGATCCTCCCACTTCAGCCTCCCAAAGTGCTGGAATTACAAGTGTGAGCCACTGCAGCCAGCCTAGGTCTTATTCATTTTACAGATGAAGAAATGGTCCAGAGAAGTTAAGGAATTCTCCAAGGATGCAGTGGGCTCAAACCCAAGCCTGCTGGACTCTCGCTAATGCTCAGAGTTCTGACAAAAAATGGTGAGTCAGAGACTCAAACCCAAGTGTTCTGTCCACACATACACTGTCCTTCCCAGTGGACTGGGCCACCCCCAATGCTGACCAGAGGGCTTGGTGAGTGCCCAGCACACTGCACACCAGAACCTGTACCCAGGACCCAGGTTAGCATCCTCCAAAGCCAGCAACTGGCCATGGGCTCAGCTGTCAGAGGAAATCTTCCCAGAAGGAGCATTGAAATGAGCAGCTGGTAGATGACTTGGTGAAACAACACAGGGACCTACTTCAGATCTCCTCGGGGACAGGGCTAAGATAAAATGGATTACACATCAATCATAATGTTCAGTAAAATGACAGAAGCTTCCAGAGCCTGGTGAAGAATACTGGGAAAATGCAAGAGGTGGGGGGGTTGTTAGAGGAGGAAGAGTTTGCACTGATGCCTTAAAACTGTCTTTCATCATCCAGTTCCCTACACTTGTGTTCATACCAGCTCAGCCACAGCTGTGTGATGGTTGGCAAAACAGCCTCTCTGTGCTTTGACTTACTCATCTGTGAAATGGGGATAATATCTGCCTCAAAATAATGACTGTGAAAGCACTTTGAAAACAGTGAAACTGCTATAAAAAGTCATAAGAGGTTATTATGATTTGCCCTGAATATGACTTGACTCACCAAGCAACATTATCTTAATTTGGTTTCCCAAGGAAACTCTCCTGCTCACCAGCCAAGTCAGGCATTGTTTATGTGACCTCAGTAATCCCCTCCTCTCTGGGCCTTAATTTTATTGTGAGGAGTTGGACTTGAAAATCTCCAAGGCCCTTGACATTCTATAAAATCCCTCACATGACATATGTTCTGATTCTCTATTTCTCACTACAAGGTCACAGGAGGCAAATTTGTGAGCTCATCCTCCTCAGTCACCTCTGGTGACTGAGTTTGTTTAGATGCAAGCCTGAGGCTCCTGCTCCATCCTTCTCATTAGCTTCGATACTGGACACCACTAACTCCCACAGCAGAAAAACTCCCAGAGCACTCAGAGGGGAAATGGAAGGACACTATTCATGGAGAGAAGGTCATCTGGACCAAGTGCTCCCCATTCACATCTGGAGATTCACTACCCTTGGGCACCGTTCATCAGTTACTGCTGCCATCACATAGAAGGAAACATCTACCTCTGTAATAAAATTAAAAGCCAGATTCTTTAAGGTTGTCCATGTAGGGAGAAATGTGGAAGGTCTGGATTTAATTAAGGGAGCCCCCAAACCAGTGGAAGACCAAAAGGCAATTTACAGAAGGAATGGAGAATGCAAGTGTCTTTCTCCAAGGCCTGGATTTCAAAACCTAAGGAGCTGGAAGAAGAGAGAAAGCCTGGAATTCACACTTCCTGAGTACCTACTAAGGTACTAGGAAATGGCCTTCCCATCATCCAGGATGAAAAGAGCTACCTATGCATCTACTGGATATTATACACCATCTTTTAATTTCCAACCTTTCAAGATAATGTTATCCCCATTTTATAGATAAAGAAACTAAGGCTTTGGAGTCTGACTCCAGAGCCTTGCCTTCCTCAGCTACCTTCTTTACCAGGCATCTGGCTGTGGCCAGCTGAGTTGCTGCTAATGGTCAAGTTGCATCATACACAAGTCTTCAGGGGGAAAAAGTCAATTCATATTAATGGGACAGAGCAGGACTAGAAGAACAGCCAAGGGTAAAGGAAGCAGATGCTGGGACTAGTCTGGATTAGTCTCATCCATTTAGAAGCCTGGAAACACCTCCAGTCCCACGTGCCTGCTGCTAATGGTGCCTGTGAGTCCTGGAGATGCAGTGGCTACCCCCAGCTCCCTCCAGAGACCTGACAGAGGCCACCAGGCCTGCTGCACTGACCATCAAGAAGCTCAGCTCTCTCTCACTGCTTTGGGGTGGGGGAGGTGAAGGAGGGTTAGCCGGGCTGTTGTCTGGCAGCCAAGAAAGAACAAAAGGCTTATTCACTGACTCAGCTCCTCTCCTAAGGGGGTGGAGTGGTGTTGACTTAAAAGTTTTTCCCTCCCCTTTTTATCAGAAAATAAGAGCTCCTTCCAGAGCTGGTGCAGACAACCACACTTGGAGCAGGGACAGGGAGCTGCTCAGTCACAGGCCATTCGAACCTCTTGGCCTAGAATACCAGGACAAAGACTCAGCCAGGCTGGGCCCCCACCCACCCCCTCTTGCTGCCCTTCCTCCCCTGAGAGGAAGCCTGGTACATGCCCACCCTTTCCATTAGCCAAGCCTCATGGCCTTAGGCAGAGCTCAAAGCTTCAAGTAATTACCCTGACTGCTCCAGGGCAGAAATAGGGTCAGGAGCTGGGCTGGCCAGAGAGCAGGTATGGCTGGAGCTGCCAACTGCCACTATCTTCCTCTCTCCGGGTGATGGAAGCACCACAGACCTCCTTCAGGCAACACAGGTTTCTTCAACTATTACTGAGCCCCTGCCATTTTCCCAGTCTGAAGTAGTGCTGTGCCACACTGCTGCTCAGGAAAAGTTCCCCAAGGTAGCTACGGTTTATAAACACCAACTGTATGCCTAAATCACAAGCTACATTGTCTGATTTCATCCTCACAACAACATACGTGATTTTTTTTTTTTTTTTTTTTTGACAGAGAGTCTGGCTCTGTTAATAATACATGCCAGGGATAAATCTCACTTGATCATGATATATGATCTTTTTTTTTTTTTTTGAGACAGAGTCTGGCTCTGTTGCTGGGGCTAGAGGGCCGTGGCATCATCATAGCTCACTGCAACCTCAAACTCCTGGGCTCAAGCGATACTCCTGCCTCGACCTCCCAAAATGCCTGGATCACAGGTGTGAACCACCATGCCCAGCCTACCTATGTGGTTTATGATCTCTGTTTCAGAGATGGGAAAGCACATGCAGAGAAGTTACATCATTTGTTCAAGCAAATAGCAGAGCTGGGATTTTAACCCAGTACTGCCTGTAGCCATCACCAGGCAATACTGTCTTTTTAGGAAATATTAGAGCTGGGAGATCATCATATCTAACCTCCTGCCCCTATACTATTTACAGATGAAGAAACTGAGGCCCAGAGAAGGTAAATAACTTGTCCAGTGTCGCATCCAGAATTGGTGGCAATTCCAGAACTTGATCTTGGTTCTTTTGACTTTAAACCCAGCCATTTTTTTTTTAAGTTTATATTTTTCCTACTGTCCTCTGCAATTCAAAGCAAATTTACATGAGGCTACTGGGCCTCACTGGACTTATTGGAGATATTGATAATCCTTAGAAATACCCTACTAGCTGTGTAGCTTGGACATGGTACTTAACTCTTCTGGGTCTCAGCTCCTCACTGTAAAATGCTCCTCGTGTGGTAATGAGAATTAGGCAGAATTATCAAGAAAGAGTACCCAGTAGGGCCTTGCTTATTAAAAAAGCACAAAATAGGGCCGGGCATGGTAGCTCACGCCTGTAATCCTAGCACTCTGGGAGGCTAAGGCAGGAGGATCTCTTGAGCCTCAGGAGTTCAAGACCAGTTTGAGCCCTGAGCAAGAGTGAAATCCTGTTTCTACTAAAAATAGAAAAAATTAGCTGAGCATGGTGGCATGTGCCTATAGTCCCAGCTACTTGGAAGGTTGAGACAAGAGGATCACTGGAGCCTAGGAGTTTGAGGTTGCTGTGAGCTGGGCTTACCCCATGGCACCCTGGCCCAGAGCAAGACTGTCTCCAAAAAAAAAAAAAAAATAGCACAAAATAAATGCTGGCTGCTATTGTGCTACTGTGCTATTGTGATTATTACCTGATTGGCATTCTACTGTTTCTGTTTACATTTAATACTTATGATAATCTTGGGTGGGTGGGTGGGTGTGGAGAGAGGATATATCCAAGGTTCAGAGGACACCTAAACCTGCACTCAACCTACAGTTCTTTCCTGGATACAGTTCTCTGACTTTAGGGAGAAATGTGAGCTGAGAACTTGTCTCTAGCTTACATGTGGTTTCCTGTTGTACAGTCTGTTCTCAGAGCAGTTTGCAGAGGAAAGGAGTGGTCCGGTGGTTAGTGACGGGATGACTGGTGCCTTGCCCTAAGTTTACAGGAAAGTAAATTCTAGGCCTCAGGGCAGTCCCGTGACAGCCTAGAGGAACAAATGTAGAAGAAAAAGATTTGGCTTCCACTGGGCTCCAGAACTGAGCTCAGAATTAAGAACATTTAGTCAGTTCAAGCACCTGGAAGGCCTAGAAACTGTCACAGGATTGGAGGAGAGCCAAATGCAGTCTGGTGGCTGAGAAAAGGAAATATTTCAAGGGCTAAACTTAGCCAGCATGGTTTGGGTCTAAGTATGAATTGTAAGGCTAGAGCCACTACCTCATTATCTCTTTCAAGTGAATAAGCAGGTGTTCCTCGACCTGCTGTGTCAACCATCCCACTGAAGGCAACCACCACAGACTGGGAGTCAGGATGCCCGCTCAGCTCAATACTTCCCCTCTCTGGAGCTCTGCTTCCTGAATCACAGAAAATCAGAGAAGGAATGGGGCTTGGAGAGCTCTAGTCCAATACCCACATTTTACAGAAAAGAAAAACAGCTCTCATTACTAACCACTTACTATATGCCACACACTGAGCTAAGCGGTCACATGCCTTACCCCCTCAGCAATGCTCTGGAGTAGGAAATAGAAGGAACTTTCCCTAAGTCACAAAAATAGCTAGTTAGTGGCAGGACTAGGACTTCTCTCCACCAAATGCTGGGTGTATAACCTCAGGCAAGGAACATATCCTCTCTTGCCTCAGTTTCCTCATCTGTAAACTGGAGATAATAACAGCATTTACCTCATAAGGGTGATTGTGAGAACTGAGTTAAGCATGCAAAATACTTGAAGCAGCCGGGCACAGTGGCTCACGCCTGTAATCCTAGCACTCTGGGAGGCCGAGGCGGGCGGA